TTGCAATGCTACTAGTATCTAAGTTAAAGTTTCTTATAGGCACTGGGAACCTGAAGTTCAAGGGAGAGTGTGAGAAAGAGCTTTAGGTTTGCTGGTCAGGAGCTCAGATATAGTGATTCAGATGAACAAGGGAGTGAATGTAATTAGGACCCTAATAAAGGTCCAATAACTGGGTTCTGGGGCACTGCCATCTTAAGAGATTATAGAGAGGAAAATGATTGTTCTGTGGCAAGCTCTCTAAATGAGAGGTGGCAGTTCAATGAGGAGGGGTTGACCTAGGAGAGGAGAAGCGAAGAGTTGAGATTATTAGAGTTAACCAGACCAGAAGAATGGGGAAAGGTTCCAAGCAAAGGATACAGCATGTATTAAGTCCTTATAATAGGACCTTTATCAGTACAAGGATTTGCAAAAATATAGATGTATTTTTGTATAGCAATATGAAGAGAAACAGTTATATTTAGAAGTCAGCAGAAAGAGCCAGCAAAGGAGAATGCGCAGATACAACCAGCAAGGTAATTTGTATCCTTGTAGAATGCTGTTTTTATTTCACTTTACACTTAAGATTAATCTCTTTTCTTTCTTTAAAGTCTTTCTTCATTTATTTCTTCCATGAGAGGGAGAAAGAGAAAGAGAGAGAGAAAGAGAGAGAGAGAGAGAGAGAGAGCGCAAATCAGGCATCCCCAGCAGGATCTTTACACAAATTTGCCCATTTGTAGCTAGTCAAGATCATGGGCATTTGTGTGTGCTACTAGTGTGTACGGTGAGACCTCAGGCTAGGAATCAGGAATCTGGGACCTTTCCATGCGGCCTCAGTGCGGTGTATTGTGTTACTACTGCACTACAGGGCTGGTCTGTTTTTCTTTTGTGAAGAAGTCAGCATGATCAAAATCTCAGGTGGGGAACCAGCAGTTAGCGTAATGGCTATGTCGCTGGACTCCCACGTAGTCGACCGTGGTTCGCGTCTCGGACCCGGTGGCTTAAATCTCACACCGGGCGCGTGTGCGTGCGTGCCCAAGATCCCGAGAGGAGAATGGAGGAGAAGGGACTGCGGCGTGACCATCCCCCCGGGGGTGATTTCTCACTTTCTGTCTCTGTGTCTCTCTCTGTCTGTCTGGCGAGCGCACGCGCTCTATAGCGAAAACCTCTCCAAAAAAAAAAAAAAATCTCAGGTGGAGAGTACTTCTTGTTCTACCTAGTTACCTATAATTCTTTAGGTGTTCATCACTGCATTCCCAATGCACAGACCAATGTCTGAAACATAGCAGGTGCTCAGTTGGATTAGTTAAAGTAGATGAATGAATGAAAGCTTTGTATCTCTAAGGATAGTTTCTTTCACAGCATTCCAGGGTGGGGAAGGGACATATGCCAGTGACATCTACTGATGACATCTATTGTTGTAAACTGTCTCTAGTCAAGTTCAATATGATTGCCTCAAAATTCACATACTGCCTTGTTTCTATTAAGGTTATGTTGAATGAGAATTGATTCATAGTTTATTTCACATGCCACCCTTGATTTCTTTCAAAAATGAACTGAACATGAGAGAAAGTACATTTAATTAGTATACTATTGAAGTCAATTGTGAAAAATGAACATTGAAGAAATAGGTAAATATTTAGTAAAATGCAAAAATTAAATCCTTTTCTTGCATCAGAGGATTTCTTTTAGAAAATTATCTCAAATTTGTAATGAGCACAACTGGAGTATGTCAGTGTTACATGATTACCTCATTTGTATCAGGTGAAGTCTGAGGGTAGTGTTGGGAGAAAGAGGTTGAAGGATCTGGGATTGGGAGGTGAATTAGCATTAGTGTTCAGACCTAGACCAGTATAGAGAACACTCCTTTAATATTGTATTTTGCTTTCATTAGGTTTGTATTGTCTTTGCTTTTGAGTTTCATTCTATGTCATACACCATCCAGGTTGAATTCACCCAGAAGATCACATCTGTTCATGTGGGTTCTTCCTGGTCAGGCTCTGGTAGTAGAGAGACTGGCAGGAGGTCAGGGAGAGCTGTCTCTAAGTCTGTCTCTAAGAGCTGTCTGTGAGTAAGTGGGATTTTTTCTTGTTGTTTTTAATATGTTTAGCTTCTGGAGACCAGCAGTGGTGTAAGGGTTACATCACTGGATTCCCAGCGATTCGAGTCCAGAACATGGCGGCTCAAACTAAGGGTTACATCACTGGATTCCCAGCGATTCAAGTCCAGAACATGGCAGCACAAAACTCACACAGGGCACATGTGCGTGCATGCCCAAAGAAAGCTCCAAGAGGAAAAATGGAGCAGAAGGGATTGTGGAGTGGCCATGTCCCCTGGTGGGTGGGGGGTGATTTCTAGCCTTTTGTCTCTCTGTCTCTCCTTATGTCTCCTGCGAGTGGATGTGCACTATAGCAGAAATCTCTAATAAATAAATAAAGCTTAGTTTCCGGACTCTAGATAATTGTGAAGCTCATCTGGGTAAATTTGGTCTCTAGGCTTTGGATGGCAGATTTTTCATCTCATTAAGGACTGTCCTGGTTCTAACTTTCTATGACATCCCTGAATGAAGACCTATTTGTAGCCAAGCTTCTTGGAAAATCTCTCATAGAAAGCATCAGTATTACTGAGTTGTCTGAAAAGTCTTTATGCATTTTTGCATAGAAAAACATGAGAAAATGGGTCATGACTTTCCTGGTGACACAATATTTAATCTTACTTTTTGAGCAGCCCAAGGCATAAAGGAAGCGCTCTTTACTTTTGGACAAGGTACTTTTCACTATAGGGGATGGAAAGCTAGTTCAGATCAGCAGAATCCTACTCATAGCCAAAGGGCATTCTTAAAGAACATCACATCTCGCCACATCTCATAGTCTCTTTAAATTTAGACATGTTGTTGCGTACCTGTTTTATAGAGGAATCCACTTTGGTGACCGTGTAGTTTAATCTATCCATTAAATTAATTATCACTGATTTAGAGGAAACAGCTTATATTTTTTTCATTCATTTAAAAATTCTTTATGATGAAACTTATGAAAATCAATATTTCGATAACTTCGATCGGTTGCCTAGTGTAAAAGGTGAAAAGGAATATCTAAGATGAATTCTTGTTGAATTGCTCTTCCACCCATTTCTGGAATGAGGAGAATCATGAGCCATCCTTAAGGCATTAGAGTGTAAATGGCAGGCAAGAGTTTGGAAATAGCCTATTTGTCAAAGGCTATGATGACAGTCTGAGTAGACTTCTAGAGCCTGAAACTGGTTTGCATCTCTAGCTTCTGAAAAGCTTCATGCCAGAGATCACATTGTCACCTTCAACAGGGTGAGGTGTGTTTATGAAATCACCTCCAGAAAAACATGAGGGTTAAAAAATACGGAAACGGAGGATGTCAACTACAGTCTCATGCTCATGAGCCAGGCTTATTTTATTAGCGAAGTTTCAATGACAGTTTTATGGATACGGAGACAATAAAACTGCTCGTTATGTGACATTCACTAATAAAACGGAACAATGGACTAATACATAGACTGTAAGGCATGGCCTGGCTGACACTAGTTTTGAATTTAAATATACAGTCAATAGCACAACAATTCTGGCTGTGTTTAATGGTGGCAAAGCTTTCCAAGTATCATGGTTGGCTTTTCAAACAGCTTTCTCCAAATGAGGAGACTTAAACCAAACAGGATGGGACAGACAAGTTTCTCCTTTGTGGTCAGACTTCACTGGTGTAAGTCAGTAATCGAAAGAGGTGTAAGGAGATGAGTCAGGGTGCCCTGTCATTGCTTTCCGAAGAGCTGAAAGCACACAGCTATTATACTTTAATCTTCCAGGTTAAGTACTGCGCTAATTCATGCAGTCTAAGTGCACTTCAACTCAAAATGGAAATTGTTCCATTCTTTTCCATTTCTCACCATGAACACTGGTTGTGACGGTGAAAAAAAACCTGCTCACCACTAGATGTCCAGGAATCCAATGCAGGAGGACGTGGTTGGTGTGGTGACAAGAGAAGTTCTAAGTGCACTTCAACTCAAAATGGAAATTGTTCCATTCTTTTCCATTTCTCACCATGAACACTGGTTGTGACGGTGAAAAAAAACCTGCTCACCACTAGATGTCCAGGAATCCAATGCAGGAGGACAGTCCTGAGAAGGACGTGGTTGGTGTGGTGACAGGAGAAGTTCTTGGAGAAAATCAGTAGCCCTCACCAGGCAATGTGTAGACCCTCAACTAATGTATTTTCCACAGTAATTCACCCTTAGTTTTGTTATTTGATTCCCTTACTTTATTTACTGGTGTGTTTATTTATTTATGTCCCAAAATTATGTTAATTTTCTTCTATCATCATCACACTGACCCAAAAATTTCTGAAAAAGAAAACCTCAAAGAAAGGTGTGCGTAGATGAAAGTCCTATCTAAACTGCATTCGGACGTCTGCAGGAGCTTTAGCCCAGTAAGAAGTGTATTAAATGGTCTTCCTGAAGTCACCTCTCTAGTAACTGGGCCTTAGGGCTTCAGGCGGCGGGGACATGAAGTGCAACCTCTCCAGCTCTCCGGTGTCCTTGTGAGTGTGTGATTGACCCCAGGGCAGCGGGCAGGGCGGAGCCAGGGCCTGGGAGCGCGCTTGGAGTGAGTCTCTGTACAGTCAGGGCTTCTGCTGGGCAGGGCCGGCTACTAATCCCGCCAGGCGGACACCGGGGCGGGGGGAGATGGGGCATATAGGTGGCGTCCGCCAGTGAAAAACACCTAGCGCAGGTAAAAGGGTGGCGGCCAGAGGGAGTTCCCACCTGTTGCGTTCTTAAAGAAATGAAGACTTGAGAAAAGAGCTAGGAGGGGCCGATCGGTGTCTTTGGGACGCGCCTGGAGCCCCACCCTCGGCCAGAGGAAAAGCCCCTTGGGTGAGAGGCAGGCGCTTCAGAGAAACTGCAGAGAAAAGCGCCTGCCCCGCGCCGCACCTTCTCTGCCGGGCGCTCGCGCTGAGCAGCGGGCCCACCCCCGCGGCGCCCCCCCCCGCGCCCCCCCCCCCCCCCCCCGCCTCTGCGCCCTCTGCCCGCCTCCTGTCCCCGAGTCCTCTCCATGGCGGCGGCCAGACGCACGAGCTCCGGGAGCGGGGCCCTCTGCCGGCAGCTCCTGCTGACCCTCGCGGTGAGTGCCTGCCTGGCCACTGGCTTCGAGGAGGGGAATTTGGTCACCTGGGGAGGAGGAAAGCTGCGGAGCTGGAGTGGGTGCGAGCGGCGCGAAAGCTGGGGTGAAAACGCCCGGGGTCGCTGGAACATGGAGTGGGAGACGGTGGGGGGAGGGCAGAAGGCTGGGAGCGCCACCTGCGCGCCGCGATCCCGAAGGGAAGGGAAGGGTGTCTCGTAAGATGTAATCAGCGCGTCGATGGAGCCAGCCGCGAACGCCCATCCAAAACCGTGGCCTCTGGGTATGCGCCGGGAAACCGCCAGTGCCGGGAAGCCGGCTGCACCCGGGCAGGTTCCTCGAGTGTGCACCAGCCTCTGCGCCCTGCCCTGCTCTGGCCTGGCCAAGGGGCAGCTGGCGCACAGGGCCGACAGCGAGTGTCCTTGGGTGGAAGAGGGCACCGCTCGCCTTTGGGGGATTGGCCTTGTAGTTTGGGGGATAGTGCAGCGAGGGAATCCGGGAGCTGAGGCGACCCTCTGCTACTGAAGACCCCGTATGGGCTGGCCCTAAGTGACTTTGTGTAGTTCCCATTGTTTGGTAGCGGTAAGCCATCCCCCTAAATCTTTGGGGGAATGATTGTCCTGGTCTCTTGTCCTGGAGCCCGCTGGGTTTCTCTGCCTCTGTCTCTTCCACCCACGTCCCGGCCTCTTTCCCACTCCAAACAACACAGCGCGATGACCTTACTCCGGAGCTACACGGGAGGGGGGGTGGTCCTCTTTGAGGCTGGACAGCCCCTCCCAGACAGAAAAGACCGGATCTCGCTGGGGAGCCTGAGACAGGACTATGAAGGGGAATGGCCTGTCCTGGGAGAGTTGGGGACCAAAAGTGCCCCACACTGGACTTTTCCTACTCCTCCCCACCTCCCGAAGTGGAGAAAAAGTTCCTTAGACCAGGTGCAAAAAAGTGCTGAACTTACTTTGGAGTTGAGCCAGTTTGGTCTCAGGGACAAGGGCAGGGACTAGAGGAATGATTCCTTCTGGGAGTGGCGCACCAGAGGTCAGAAATATTCAGATTATTGCCCCATCCCTTCCGCTCTCGTTTCATAATGGATCCCTAAATTTTTAGGTTATGAAATTGTAGTTGTTACTGTTACTAGAATGTTGGAAGCAGCTTCAGGCCATCCATTAAATATCCAGAATAGGTTAGGAACATCAGGCCCAAACCACAGCGCTAACAGTTGACAGCTGAGGAAACTAAGATCGGAATAATGGTCACAACATGTTTTGATGACGATGAAGTGAGTTTTACTCAGATCCCTGATAAAGTGGCCCTTTCCTTTTAAGCCATGGGCCATTTTTCTTCTAAAGAAAAAGCATACTTAGGCACCTGTGATAAATGACATTCTCTGTGTGTACCACTCAGAGTTCTCTGCGATCATCTCAGATCCATTTGAGAAGAAAGCAGACTACAAGTGAATCCACTGGGGGGGAATCCCCAATCTTTGGTCTTCCTTAGCTTCAGAGTTTGACCGGTGAGGAGTGGGATAGAGAAAAAAAGCGCTGGCCTGGTTGCAACCCTCATCTACTTGCAGTTGGAAGGCTGTCATTCCCTCCCATTGTTCTGAAGGTCCATGCAGATCTGTAACACCTCACTGCCTCGGTGACTGGTGTGGGCCTCAAGTGTGAGAGATGTATAGAGATGATTTAGCAGAAGATATTATTAAATAAGACATTAAAGAAGAATGACTTTGATGGGTACCCTTTGCATGGCCTTTTCCTCAACCATCCCAGTATTCACTCCACCTGCTTTTTTAACCTTTCTCATCATTAAGAATCTTGACTATTCACCTAGTTTTTTTTTTCTCCAGTCTTTTTTTGGGGGGAGGGGAAGGGGGTCCTGTATGTGATATATCTATATATATATATTTTTTTTTTTTTTGGAGAGGTTTTTGCTATAGGGCACATGCGCTCGCCAGAAAGAGAGAGACAGAGAGACAGAAAGTGAGAAATCACCCCCCAGGGGGGGATGGCCATGCCTCAATCCCTTCTCCTCCATTCTCCTCTCGGGATCTTGGGCACGCACGCACACGTGCCTGGCATGAGTTTAAGCCGCCAGGTGCGGGACTTGAACCGCGGTCCACTACATGGGAGTCCAATGACATAGCCATTACACTAACTACTGGTCCCCTGTATGTGATTTTAAAAGATTCCAAATGAAATCTACCCACTTAATTCATTTTTAAGTGTGCGGTGCAGTATTAACTATAAACACCATGTTGTATAGCAGATCTCTAGAACTTTTCATTTTGCATAACTTAGACTTTCTACACAGTAAACAGCAACTCCCGATTTCTCCCACCTCCAAGTCTCTCCACCATTCTATTTTCTGCTTCTGACTTGGACAGGTCCCCTGGAATTTATACTCCTTATTTGGGCCATTCCATCCACTTTTATGACTTAAAATATCACGCAGATAAGTTAATACTGGCAGTTGAGATGTCTTCATTAAACAATAGGCCTTTATTTCTCTCTTCTTACTGTGAGGTGTGACACAACATTATTGTCTTTCCAAACAATGTTGCTTTTCTTTTAGTCCTGTATTTCCATATATGGCACTACCGCCTTGTTCCTCCAGTGGGAAGTCTGGACGCTGTTTGTTTTTCCATCCTCACTGCTCCCCTCCCATCAGCCGTCATGAAATCCCATGATATCTACATTCAAATGTAGCTCATGGATATGTTTACTAGTGTCTATCAATTCTACTGTTACAATAATGTCAGAATGAATAAATCTGGATACATGTCGTTTCATATATGGGTGTGTGCATCAATAGAATAGATGGCCAGAAATGGAACTGACAAATAAAAATGTAAATTATACAATAAATGACTGTTTAATTTTGGTAGCTATTGCTTTTCCAATCACAAAAGTTGTATATGACTAGAAGGAAAGGAGTTTTAAGATAGATAGCATACCACACCATTAATATGTAATATATATAGTATATAAATATATATTAGGGTAAGATATTATTAAATAACATGGCTTTGAGACTAGTTGAGCTAGGCAGTAATTTGCCAAGTGATAAAGCTGAGTCCATACTTCATGTAGAACACTGTACAAAACTCCAACCAGATGAAAGAGTTCAGTGGAAAGTATAATATATGTACTGAAAAAAAATTTTTCAGATAATATTTGAAAAGTCTAATCTAATACATAAAGAACTTTTGTAAATTAAGAAGAAAAAGTCCAAAATGAACATGGATGTGAAATAGTCAAACAGCCTTTAAAATATAAAAATATATCATTCACATTTATAATGAAGAGACTAAATTAAAAACAACAGCAAAATGTCATTTTACACTTGTCTTGGCAGACATCCAAAAGTTAGACATCATGGTACATAGGCAAGAATGTGGAAAAATAGAAACATAAATTGTTGGTGAATGTAACAAAAATTATGTAACAGCCTTTATGTACTGTGTACAGTCATATCATAGCAAATAGAACTTATTTTACTGCTTCTTCTATAATTCATATGTATCTAATATCTGCCTATTGGTGCTACATTATTATTTTTTTAATTGAGCCTTTAGAGAATCTTTTAATATCTGTTTAGGCAAATAGCCTTATATCACTCTTCTTTTTCCTAATTTTCTTCATTTTAATTTTGATTTTTTTTTCTTATGACCTTTGAATCGACTTAATTCCAAAAGAAATTCTATTGGTATTTTTATTGGTACCATAAACTTTATAATTTAACTTAGTGACTATTATATAAGAATGTTATTATTTCCTATCCAAGAAAATTATATCTTTTTTGTGCGAGTCTGCTTTTGTGTACTATAGAATGTTTCCAGGTTTTCGACAAATAGGTTTTGCAAATTATTTATATTAAATTTAGTCTTTGGTCTTCTAACATCTTGTTGCTTTTCAAAATGGTTTCTTCTTTTATAATATCTGTTTCTTTAATAGGTATGAAGACTAATGATTTCTGCTTTATGATACCTGCTTCTGCTTTTTTACTGAATTATTGTTTTATAGTAATTTTTATTGATTTGCTTGATTTTCCAGGAAAACTGTCATAACAAGTGTAAATGAGACCTTTTTACTTCTTTCCAGTTCATACACCATCTAATGCTTTCCTCTTGCTGATGTTCTTTCGATGTGGTGTAAATTAAATTACATATGGTGAACTTGGAAAGCCTAATCTTGTTTCTGAGTTTACTGGCATTGCTTCTAGTACTTTCCCATTGGTGTTGTGATGATAAAAATATTATACAAGTACTCATCAATTCTTATTTTTTGAGTTTTTTTTTTTTAAAAAAAAACTAGGAGTTATTATTGAATTCGGCCTATTGCCTTTCATGCATCTCGTACCAAACCTTCTCTAAACAAACTCATGGCTCAGGGTTCTAGATAGACCAAGTAGGTGATGTTTGTGTGGATCACAAACCCATAGTGGGTCCATTTACTTCCCGTTCAACTTTATAATGAAGGTTTAGCATTTGGGGTTCCAGATTAGTGTGGAGAGGGTCTTCTTTTAACTCTTAGGTGATCCCCGTGTTTTGATCTCATTCTCCTTTAATGAGGTCAATTAACTAGAGTCAAATCTTTGTCAGTCAGAAATCCTTTCTGGGTTTCTCTTAACCACTCTGTGTTTCAGCTTCTGTTTTGACCAGTAGTTCTTTCCTGTTTTGTTAATTCTTTGATAATTTAAGATGTTTCTTTAAAAAGTGTACCCATCATTTTTAGTTGGTTTGGTATAGGATTTATTAAATTACTTTCCTTGCTTTTATTGGAAATGAAAGTTGTTTCGCCATTCATTCTTTTTTTTTAAAAAAGAATTATCTATTTTAATTTTGTTTATACATTCATTCATTTTTAGTTAGACCAGAGAGAGAAAGAGAGAAAGAGGGAAAGTGAGAAAACAAGGCACCAGGACTGGGACTCAAACCATGGTCAGCCATGTGGGAGTGTCCAGCTCCTTAACCACCACACCACCTGCTGGCGCCTTCCCTATTCATTCTTTGATCAGACTTATCATATTCAGATATATAAAGCTGCTTTTGTGATTTATTTGCTTAAAGCAAAATTTTGGATTATTATCTTTAGGAAAAAATATCTATACAATTTATTAATGCTGTTCAGAATCTGTCCCACCTCTACTTCCTTTAGTCCTTTTTTTAGCTTCTCTTCACAATGTGCTATACACATCCACCATTTCAGGTTTCCCTTTCCAGCTCTGTGTCATCTCTGGGCTTTCACGTATGCCATTCCTCGTCTGAAACATTTAATCTCTGTCTCCTCCTAACATGATTAACTTGTAGTCACTTTTCAGGTGACCTCACCTGGCTCTTAGCTGAAGCTGGTTCCTCCTGCTCTTCCATAGCACCAACTACTTCCCTATCTCTTAGATTCCTTCTCTAACTTCTCAACTTGCTCTCGACTTCCATTCTTGCTCCCCTATAGTCTAGACTTCACACAGCTAGCATGATGATTCTATGTAAAAACTAGTTTATGTCACTCTGCGACTTCTAAACCTATAGTTGCTTCTTATTGTTCTCAAAACAAAATCTGTGCTCCTTCTCATGACCTTTAGACCTTCCGTGATCTGCTCCTGACTGACCTTTTGTTTCACCTCCTACCAGTCTTTCCTCATTACGCTCTGTATTATGACCTCCTTGTCATTTCTCTGACCCACCAGATGAAGTCCCCTTGCAGGGCCTTTATTCTGATGATTGCTCCACCTGGATGACGCTTTCCCAGTCAGGAAGCTAGTGCGCCTCTATATGTTACACAGGCTTCTGCTTTTTCCTTTGTCACCTCTCCCCGCTTTATTTTTCTCATAACATTTCTCTCTGTCCCTTGATGTTATGTGACATTTGTACATTTGTGTATTTATTTCTTTTTCTCATTATAGTATAATCTTTGTGAGGGCAAGAGCTTTGCTTTGTTCCCTGCCATAGCCTTTAAATCTTAGCACCTAGTAAGCAGCCGATAAATGTTGGTTGAATGGATAAGTGGACGTATTCTTTCCACACATCCTTGAACTGAAATCATGAGAATCATCTGATTCGAATCTTATTCTCTCTTGATTACTCAGCCAGCAAAACTTCTTCTCATCTTTTAATTTCCAATTCAGATACGACCTCTTCATCGTGTCCATTCCTAATTTTAAAATGAGGCATCATCTCTCCCTTACCTGATCCTTCATATAGAATTTCAATCGGATAATTAAAGCTTCTCTAATATGTATTGAAAATAAAATCTTAATCCAAGTTTATAATGATTTTAGTTTATGTTGCTAGACTTTGCAAATAGTGTAAATGCTAATTAGCTATCTTGCTTTTGTTCAAGGCATTTGCGGAACTATAGAAAAAAGAATGTGAATCTTTCAGAAGCATTCATTATAAAGCTTCAGAGAACAGAATTAAATTTCAGTTTACTCAAATATATATTGTGTTGGAGTTGGTTCACCATAAATCACTAAAATATTTTTACATGTTTAAGTGAACTATTTTTTAAAATAACCTTCATTTTCATTTAGGAGAAGATGCACAAATGAAGCATGTATTTCAAAGTTCAGTGCTAGTTTGTGTGAAATAATACATACTCTCCAGATAAGTCCATGGCAATCAGTTGATGCTTTGCTTTAAAAGCATTGCATTTTAAAATATTTTTTAAGAGATATTTTTGCTATAAGAGGCTTGTGCTCACCAGAAAGACAGATGGATAGAAAGCGAGAAATCACTCCCCCATTGGGATGGCCACACTGCCGTCCCTTCTCCATTCTCCTCCCAGGATCTTGGGCATGCAAGCACATGTGCCCAGTGTAAGTTTTAAACAGCCAAGTCCCGGACTTGAACCAAGGGTGACTATGTGGGAGTCCTGCAACATAACCATTATACCATCTGCTAATCCAAAAGCATTGAGTTTTTGTTTAAGATATTATAAATTTGACACCATAGCTCATAGGCAGTTAAAAATGTATTGAAACAATTTGCTGCCTTAAAAAATTTAGTTTTGGGGACTAGCAGATGGCGTAATGGCTATGTAGCTGGACTCCCATGTAGTTGACTGTGGTTCAAGTCCTGGACCCAGTGGCTTAAACTCACTCCGGGCGGGTGTGGGTGTGTGTGCCCAAGATCCCAAGAAGAGAATGGAGGAGAAGGGGTGTGGCCATTCTCCCCCCACCCCCCCGCCGGGAGTGATTTCTAGTTTTTTGTCTCTCTGTCTCTCTGTCTTTCTGGCCAGTGTATGTGCCCTATAGCAGAAACCCCTCCAAAAAAAAAAAAATTGGTTTTGTTTCTCTTTCCTATTTACATACCTATGTTACCTTCCTAATAGTTTTCAACATTCTTGTGAGTAAGTTGTTGGATCCTAAGTCAGCGAAATTACTATTGAATCTACTTTACAGTATAGAAAACAAAGTCCAAAACCTGAAAGGATACATAATTATCTGAGGTTATATGCTTTGTTGAGGAGGGAGTTTTGACTTCTGGTTTACTGCTTTTTTCTTCCTTTCAATATAATTTTTTTCTGACTTCATACTTGAGTATATGTTTTTATTTTATTTTGCTACTTATATATTATATAAGCTAACATATTGTGCACAGTTTAACAATTATAGATTTATATACTTATTTATATATTCAATAATATTTTATTAATCAAATATATAATAATATCCACCTATATGCCTATTAATATATAAATATACACATTTATAAGTTATGTGAACTATATACATATGAAAAGAATCTTTCTTATGCATAATATTGACTTGATTTTCTTTTTCTTTTTTAGATCTTAACATTTTCCTGTGATGCCTGCCAAAAAGTGACCTTGCATGTTCCCTCCAAACTAGATGCTGAGAGATTAGTTGGCAGAGGTAAGAAACTCCCAGCATATGTAATAAATCAATTTGGTATGACCTTTTAAAGTGACCCCTCCAGCACGTGCTCCTCCACCATGCAGGGAATGCATGTACGAGCCCCACCTGAAAACAATCCCGAACAAGGCCCTTTTTTTTTTTGGAGAGGTTTTTGCTATAGGGCACGTGCGCTCGCCAGACAGACAGAAAGAGACAGAGATAGAAAGTGAGAAATCACCCCCCCAGGGGGGATGGTCACGCCGCAATCCCTTCTCCTCCATTCTTTTCTCGGGATCTTGGGCATGCACGCACATGTGCCTGGCGTGAGTTTAAGCTGCCGGGTCTGGGACTCAAATTGCGGTCGACTACATGGGAGTCCAGCGACATAGCCATTACACTAACTGCTGGTCCCAACAAGGCCCTTTTGACCCAGGTAAAAAACCCTCGCTCCAGTTCCTCCCAGGCAACCCATTTTTTGGGACCCCCACCCTTCTTCTTAGGAGATCTGTTTTTGCTTCCCTCTCCTTCAGTAAACTCCCCACCTTGTTATACCTTCAAGAGAAAAAAAAAAAAGTGAGTGTAATTTTTAGATGGATGCTATATTATTATTAATAGTGAAAATGAAGTTAGTACATTACCATTCCTAATTCATGAGGAATCATTTCAATGAAAGGAATATTGTTCTTTATTGAAAAACACGATTATATAAAGTAGATAAAAATATTTAGTTTAAATAAAAAATTAATATTTATATCTCATGGAGGATATCGTACAGATTTAATAAATACTTCTAAGAAATTGAGAAATACTGTTGAGATAGTTCTTGACTTTAAAGGTATTGTTTTGGGATTTTCACTCTAAAACATTTGGCATTTTGTAGAATTTACTTCCACATACTGTTTTTTATCCAATAATTTTTTTAATCACATAATTACATCCATTTAATGAGAATTCAGAATATAATGACTATTTGAGGAAAATGTAAAAAGTTCAGTAATATGTTAATAACTGCCAATTTAAATGTGCTAGATTCTGTTAAACTTACTTAATTGTTGGGTGTGTTACTCTATAGCTAATTTCAGTTAATAAAAATCTTTTTAAGTTGGTTTTAATGTTAAGACACTGGAGTTCAAATGTCTTCATTTCAGGACTAATGTCTCTTTTCTGAGCGAGATTTTTTGCTACACGGCATGTTAGCTCAGCAGAGAGACAGAGAGAGAGAGAGAGATAAAAAGTGAGAAATCGCCCCCCCCCAGGGGGGATGGCCATGCTGCGTGCCCTTCTCCATTATCTTCTCAGGATTTTGGGTGCACACACACACACACACACACACACACACACACCTGGAGTGAGTTTCAAGCCACTGGGTTCAGGACTTGAATTGTGGTTGACCAAGTGGAAGTCCAATGCCTTAACCACTACACCACATACTGGTCCCAAATGTCTCTTTTTCATAAAGATATAAAGCAGGCATTAGAAATAATTTATGTATGTAAGCACAACTTAAAGAATCATATAGTTTCATATGTCCCTTTAAATATACCAAGTTATGCCAGCCGTGGTCTGGTGGTTAAGACAGGTGGATCCCATGTGGCCATCCACACGGCTTGAGCCCTGAACCTGGTAGCTTGAAAAATATGTGCATGTGTGTGTGTGCCTGAAATTGTGAAAGGAGGGAGAAATGGAGGAAAAGGATTGTGGTGTGACCCCCTCCCCCCATGGGGGTGCTTTCTCATTTTCCCTCTCTGTCTCTGGTGAGCACATGTCCTCTTGCAAAATTAAAAAAAAATGTTAAATTTACAAGTGTCAAAATGAAGTCTTATTCTCTTTAAATGCATAGATTACTGTTAAGATTATATATATATTTATGCTTTACCTTACCAATGATTGCCGTGTACATTTTCTACAGTTAACCTGAAGGAGTGCTTTAACACTGCGAATCTAATTCATTCGAGTGATCCTGATTTCCAAATTTTAGAAGATGGTTCCGTCTATACAAGGAATACTATTCTTCTGTCCTCGGCAAAAAGAAGCTTTACCATATTTCTTTCCAACACTGAGAACCAAGAAGAGAGGGAAATATCTGTCCTTTTAGAGCATGAAACAAAGGTACATTAGACTTTACAAATGAAGTATAATGTCATCTTTTCTTCAGATGTCACTAACATTATCAGGGAAGATATGGAATCAGAAAGGATATGGTACCATTTGGCATGGAAAATTAAAACTGTGAGACAATGGTTTTCAAATGGAAAAGGATTGTGCAACATAGGTTATTACAGGTTTTCATTTCTTTTCATCTGGGACATAAAGGAGAAATTAGGATGTACTGCAGGATGAGAACTTGAGGTTAGACATAATAACATGTCTTGAGCTTTACTAAAGAATGGGTTTCTGAAAACAAGTTTTGCAATTCTACCTCTGGGGACCAGCAGATAGTGTAATGGTTATGTCACTGGACTCCTCCAACTGCAGTTCGAGGCCCAGACCCAGAGGCTTGAAACTCATGCTGGGCATGTGTGCATGCATGCCCTAAATCCCAAGAGAAGAACAGAGGAGAAGGGATTGCAGTGTGGCCATCTTCCCTGGGTGGTTATTCCTCACTTTCCCTCTCTCTATACCTGTCTGTCTCTATCTCCAGTGAGTGCACTCGCCCTATGGCAAAAGTGTATTAAATAAATAAATAAAAGAAAGAAAAGAAAATATGACTATTCTAGGAGTACGTTTGGACTAATATGCAGCTTATGGTATTGTGACAGCCAAGACAAAAATGACTTCTGCTCGGAAACAACAGTTAGCGTAATGGCTATGTTGCTGGACTCCCACGTAGTCGACTGCGGTTCACGTCCTGGACCCGGTGGCTTAAAACTCATGCCAGGCACGTGTGTGTGTGTTCCCAAGATCCCGAGAGGAGAATGGAGGAGAAGGGATTGCGGCGTGGCCATCCCCCCTGGGGGGTGATTTCTCGCTTTCCGTCTCTCTGTCTCTCTCTGTTTGTCTGGTGAGCGCACGTGTCCTATAGCAAAAACATCTCCCTCCCACCCCAAAAAAAGCAAAATGACTTCTGCTCAGCTGTTAGGTATTTCTCACTGTAGTAGTTTGGGATTGTCACCATATTTCTCTCCTTATTCTGAAATAGATGTCTCTGTTGGCCCCTGGCCCTGCCTAGTTGCTGGTGAGTGAACGATGCCTATGCTAAATTTAGAAAAGCACAGCCTCATTTTCTTGGCATCTCTCTACTCCCATATTTTTGCACGACAGTGTGACAACAGTATTTTTTTTTCTTCAGTTTTGTTTTAAGCTTCCAGTTCCATCTCTCTCTCTTTCTTTCTTTTTTTTTGTTTTTTTTTTTTTTTGCATTTCCACCAGATTATGTTCTGAAGAGCCTGCTGTGATAACAGTGCAGTTATTTCTTTGTAATCTTTTTGCCATGTGGATGTTTGCTTTTAAAATGCTATCATGGTCTGACACCTGCCTTCTTAATCCTAAAAGGAGAAAGAGATATCAGACATCCAATGTTTGAGAATAAAGTAATCACTGACTTTATTATTCTTCTTTTCCCCTATCTTCTAAATGGATGTGCTAAAGAAAAAGCATTCTCAAGAAAAAGTCCTGAGACGTGCCAAGAGAAGATGGGCTCCTATCCCCTGTTCCATGCAAGAGAATTCCTTGGGTCCTTTCCCTCTTTTTCTTCAACAGGTACAGTTTACTTTCTTCTACTGTGAAAGTCTACCGTTTCGATTAGAAAAAGAATCAGCTGTGGTTTGAGTCTCAGGCCTGCTGGTTTAAAATTCACAGCAGGCGTGTGTGCATGTGTGCCCGAAATTCCAGGAGGAGAATGGAGAAGAAGGGATTGTGGCATGGCCATCCTCCCGGAGAATGATTTCCCACTTTCTATTTCTCTTTGTTTCAGCAATCACATGTGCCTTATTGCAAAAATCTCTCTAAAAAAAATTAAAAATATTTGTGTATGAATATGCAAGGGAATGAGTACCTCTAGTATATGTTTCAGTTTGTGGATGTTTTCTTTATATCAGGATACACTTTTTTGCTGCTTTAGTCATGCAAGGACCATTTATGAAACTGTAAAGTCCACCTATCACTCTTGAACATATTTCCTTAATGGATTTTTACATCAGCAATAGTATAGAGACTGGACGTAGCCTAGAAACTCCCCAAATTCTCCCATAATAGAGGATAAACAAACAAACAAACAGACAAAAAAACCAGAAAATCTACTTGCCTCCTGCTATCAGTGTTCTCTAACATTCAGTCTGTGACTTGGATTTCTTCCCTTCTGTCCTTAAAATGGTGGGAGACGATCCTTTTTATATCCCACCTTCATTAAATCTCTCAGATTTAATGAAGCTGAGAGACAAGCACATTGAAGTTGAGAAAGAAATTGTTAGGAAATAATGGCAGAGGGGAAGAGGGAGGGAATCAAGAGAAAAAAAGGGAAGAAACAAACCATTTAACAAATACGAAATGGAAGATTATCTGTTGAAGATAATACGTATGGTAATACCTTTGGCTGAGCCAATACACAGTGTATTCTGGATGGGAAAATTCATTTTGTATGCTGTAATGACATACAGTGAATGAATGCAAAAAAGAAAAAAGAGAAAAAAAGAAAATAACTATGTTAGTTATCCTGATGTAAAGACAACAAAGATCTTACTGAGAGAGTGAACTCAACTTGAAAGAAATTTGCTCTTTGTATCAAGGACCAGACTATCACCCTTGCCAATGCGTTACTCCATTTCTACACTCACTCATGTTTTTATTTTTATTTTCATGCATGATAAGGGAGATGCTGACAAATAACAAAATCTCATTAAGGAAAGTATTTTCCAAGATTTTTTCCCCCTGAAGATAGTACAAATTAAGTCCAGTGTCTTAAATACTGTCACATATAATAAAAACTCATTTTAAAAAAATTGACAATACATTCTTATGCTTAAAATATATATTGTGATACAAGAAAACTCTTAAATGTTTCCTCTACATAGGTACCCATTTAGCTTTTCCAGTATATTTCAGTTTTTCTGAAAAACTAAGATGTTCCTAAATTGTTTTGCCTACACTTTGCTCTTGGAATTTCTCAATTATTAGGTTTCTTTACTTGATTGCTGCTTTTTACTTACACATAGTAATGAAGAAGGAATTAGGTATTGTAATAAAAATGGCAATGTGGTCACATAAATGTGCAAATGATAATCTCTGTTCTCTAGATTCAATCCGACACAGCACAAAACTATACCGTGTTCTATTCAATAAGAGGGCCTGGAGTTGACCAACCACCTCAAAATTTATTTTACGTGGAAAAAGATACTGGAAACCTGTTTTGTACTCGTCCTGTGGATCGCGAGCAGTATGAATCTTTTGAGGTAAGCTTTAAGTTTCTGTATGGCATTAGTAATCATTAAGCTTGGCTACTTTCTTTCTTATTCGCCATTCATTTAACCTTTTCTGTTCCCCTGAGTTTGTTATTGATACTGTCTGTCTCTGATAACATAGAATTAACTTGAAACACAAAGAATTTTGACTAACTACATAACTGTTAGATTGTATTAGATTGTTTCTGGTGTTATAGTTTTACTATTTTTCTTTCTTCCTTTTTTTTCCCCCCAAAGAATAAGAGTACTACTTTCAAAAAAAGTTAGTTAGTTGGCAGAAAAGATGTATGAATTTCTCTATGGTACAGAAGTGTACAGGATGTAAAAGAGATTTGGAAGTTACTCAGTACTTTTGCAAAGAGAGGAAGTTAACTTACAGTGAGTAGGTAAGGAATGTGACAGTGCTTAAGAAAGCTTATTCAGGGGACCAGCAGTTGGCATGATGGCTATGTTGCTGGACTCCCACGTAGTTGACTGAGGTCTGAGTCCTGGACCCAGTGGCTTAAACTCACACCAGGTGCGTGTGTATGTATGCCCAAGATCCAGAGAGGAGAATGGAAGAGAAGGGATTGCGGCATGGCCATCCCCCCGGGGGAGGGTGGTGATGTGATGCTTTCTGTCTCTCTGTCTCTCTCTGTCTTTCTGGCGAGTGCATGTGCCCTATAGCAAAAACCTCTCCAAAAAAAAAAAAAAAGCTTATTTAATCTTTTAATCATCTGGTGGTTAACATCTGATGGTGGAAGGTGAGGTACTATATAGAAATTAACTTAGTGTTGGTTTGATTCTCCAACAGGTTGGTCATTTTGTGTAACTTAAATCATTTTACATCTATTTTTGAATATTTTAAATAAACCAAATAACCAAATAACCATGCAAGCTTTTAATTAAGTATTTAGGCTAGAATTGATAATATGGCCCTCCTAAATACCTGTGATGATCTGTTCTATGACAGCTACTATGAGAAGAGCTAGAATTGAAATTTATATGCTGATATGCTTGATTGAGCCAATATACATGTACTCTGGATGGAGAATCTCATTTTGTATTTTGTCATGTATAGTGAATGAATGCAAATAAATAAATTTAAATTTAAAAAATGAAAATAAAAAAAGAAATTTATATTAGAAAATACAAAAAAAAATTATACTCTGCACAATTTCCAACCATTCATTTGTTCTATTTGACTGCTTCTTTTTAAATTAAAACAAATGTTGGGACCGACAAATGGCCTAGTGGTTACACTGCTGGACTCCCATGTAGTCGACCAAAGTTTGAGTTCTAGACCTGGCAGCTTGAAACTCTGTTCAGGAACATGTGCATGTGTGCCCAAGATCCTGAGTGAAGGGTGGAGGAGAAGGGACTGCGGTGTGGCCATCCTCCCTCAGGGGTGATTTCTCGCTTTCTGTCTCTCTGTTTCTCTCTGTCTTTCCAGAGAGTGTATGTGCCCTATAGCCCCGGTTGTGAGGGTCTTTCTCTTTCATGCCCTCTGAAGCTGAAAAAAAAAAAAAAGGAAAGAAAAGAAAAGTTTATGAAAAGAATTATCTAAATATAATATCGATATGGCAAAAACCTTAATTAGTAGAAAATAAGATAGTATTCTATTCAAGTTTGTAATTCTAAAGAACTCAAAGTTAAAATGACCCAGAGAATTGTATTCAATACCTATGCATCTAAGACTTACAATCTAAACTGAACAAAATTAAGTCCTTAAAAGTGTTTTGGGAAAATAATAATAAAAACCATCATATTCATGAATAGCAGTGCAGTGGCGTGAATGAATGCATATCTATGTTATTACATTATCTATGTTATTACATTGGACAAATGTAGACATAAAATGCTATTTTCCACCACGAATTTAATGCCACTTAGTTGGCCTCAGGTTTTGTTCACATCCCCAAACAGTCACAGATGGTGAGATTCACATGGCAATGCTTGTTAATCTCCAAATTAAAGCCAAGCAAGTTCTGGGACCAGCAGTTGGCATAATGGATATGTCGCTGGACACACATGTAGTCGACCATCGTTTGAGTCCTGGACCTCGTGGCTTAAACTCACACTGGGTGCGTGTGTGTGCGTGCCCAAGATCCTGAGAGGAGAATGGAGAAGGGATTGCAGCATGGTCATCCGCTCTGAGCGGGGGGGGGTGATTTCTCACTTTCTGTCTCTGTCTCTCTGTCTTTCTCGTTGAGCGCATATGCCCTATGGCAAAAAACCTCTCCAATAATAATAATAATAATAATAATAATAACAATAATAATAATAAAAAGCCAAGTAAGTTCAAACCATATCTCATTTTAAAAGATGTTTTCACTTTTCTCCTTATTTGACTCTGCACAGATAATTGCCTTTGCAACCACTCCAGATGGATATACTCCAGAACTTCCACTGCCCCTGCTAATCAAAATAGAGGATGAAAATGATAATTACCCAATTTTTACGGAAACAATTTACATTTTTACAGTTTTTGAAAACTGCAGAGCTGGTGAGTATCTAGTTTTAATAATTTCTGACCCCTTAAATATGTTTCATTTCCTGTGTCAATTTTCACTATAGCCATTGGGAAGCAGCATATCTTGGCGGAAAGAGTAAGGGACTTAGCAGTCATGATGTCCTGGGTGAAATTTCACTCTGCCATCCCCTCCCTGTGGGATCCTATGTTAATCTCCTAATCTCAACTGGCCTTCATTTCCTCATCTGTAAAAGGGATATCGAGATACCAGGTTATCATGAAGGTTAAATGAAGGTTAAGATATACTAAATGCCAAGCACAATGATTGAGTGCATGTGCCCTATGGCAAAAACCTCTCCAAATAAAAAATACTACAAAGGTCACGGAAAGATAGTATTAACATTTATAATACATTATACATTAAATGCAGTAAATATGAATTCTAAAATATTAGAACACTAAGATGTTTGAAAGGAAGTGATATGGTCTTTAACTGTATAAAAGTCATTACTTGGATATATAATTAAGTTCATAACATCTTTGAGGTTGGCAGAGAGTAGTAGAAAAAGGGGAAGTTGGAAATGTGAAAGTTTTGAAAATTAAAAAGTATTTTTCCATATGTAGGTTCTACTGTGGGCCAGGTGTGTGCAACTGACAAAGATGAGCCTGACACAATGCACACACGCTTAAAGTACTCTATTATCGAGCAGCTGCCAGCAGTGCCCACCCTATTTTCTATGCATCCAACCACAGGTGTGATCACCACGTCTTCATCTCAGCTAGACAGAGAGGTAATATAAATATTACTAAGTAAGACTTGATTATAACATGGGTATTGAATAGTATTTGTACATATCACCTATAGATATATTTTTGAGAAGCATGTTTCTAAATTTGATTTTAGAAAAAGTATTATTTTTAGGTATGTTAACTTTTAAGTGTGTTAGTGGAGGTCGGTAAGTAACTTTAAAGTGTGCTAATTTTGAACTTCTACTTGTTTCTCTCCTGAATTATATGTTTCATAAAATCAAATTTTCTAACATAAACATACTTATAGTATTAAAAATAGGAAATATTAAATATGAAAAGTGAAGCTTTTGAAAATATGTAAAGATTTGTTATCAATAAAGGTTTCTTTTTCTGTCTTCAGTTTATTGACATTTCTTCCAAAGTTATTTGACATTTATGTTCTGTCTGTTCTCATTACAATTACCTTAGCTGAGTAATTCATTCACTTATTCAGCTATTACTTTCTCCACCAAGCATTATTCACCTGAATTCTTACAGCAGTTTGTTTATCCTATTTACCTCATTTATAATCCTTAATCTGAAGATCTGTACTGTATATTTATTAGGTATTTCCTGGATTCTTAAAACTTCATATCTGATTTGAGCTGGCAGGTGGTATGGCGGTTAAGGGCACATGGTCAACCACAGTTCGAGTCCCAGACCTGGCGGCTTACTCTCTCACTTTCCCTCTCTCTCTCTCTTGCTCTCTACCTCTCTGGTCAAATTAAAATGAAATAAATGAAGTACTCTGTATAGATCCTTCTGATAAAATTAGCTGAAAATATTTGGCCAATGAAGGCATGTACTCAAGAAACTTAGCTCTGTAATTTAATCTGTAGGACCTTTGTGACCCCCAAACCAAAAATTGTTTTAAAAATATAAAAATAAAGATGAGAGGTAGGCAAACAGAATTTGTCAGTTGCTCAAGATTCTGCTATTTTTTAGGGTTGTGAATAGAGCCCAGGTTTCCTAGTGTTTAGTCTGAACGCATTGTAATTATGTTAATTTTAATCCTCTCATATCTCAGCTACTTATGATAAATGAAACCATAAAGAGAAGAAACACATTTTTTTAAGTAGTAATGAACCTTCTACAGTATCTTGTTAATGGGCATTCCTAAGAACCTGATTCTGTTTTCCATTGAAAAAAGTAATTACATAGCCCTCGACCTATATTTTTATGCTAACTTAATTTGTATTAATGTGAAGTGAGCTTTACTGCAGCTCCTGAAGCCACATGGCTGATCACATGCTTGAGTTCCAGTTGACCTGAAATCTTACATGTTACTATTGAGAATAAGGATTCAACGTTATCTTTTCCACAGAATATCTCACTTTATTGTTTCATTACAAGACTATAATGAGAGTCACTGCTCTGTGTGTATGGACATAAGAATGTGCTTTGGATGGGAGATAAAGATTGTGATGAACTATCAGGCAATTTGAAATGTTCTATGGCTGTAGCATTTCTCTTTCTGTTGAAAAAAGGTGACACTGACTATCCTATATTCTGTGAACTGATTGCACTTTAAATGTGAGAAGCTACTCTGTTTTCAAAAATTCATTGTGATGGGACCAGCAGTTAGCGCAATGGCTATGTCACTGGACTCCCATTTAGTTGACCGTGGTTCGAGTCCCGGACCCAGCGACTTAAACTCATGCCGAGCGTGTGTGCGTGCATGTCCAAGATCCTGAGAGGAGAATGGAGGAAAAGGGATTGTGTCGTAGTCATCCCCCCTTGGGGGGTGATTTCTCGCTTTCTATCTCTCTGTCTCTGTCTTTCTGGTGAGCACACGCGTCCTATAGCAAAAACTTGTCCAAAAAAAAAAGTTCATTGCAAATTACTGGTGTGAAGAAATTCTTTTTTTGGTATACGAATGGTATAAAAGTTATTAACACAAGGAAACTTATAAAATTTATGTTAATATTTCACTTCTAATCTTGCTGCATTCACTGTATAATTAAATTCTTTCTTTGTTTTCAGTTAAATGATAAATACCAGTTGAAAATAAAAGTTCAGGACATGGATGGTCAATATTTTGGCTTGCAGACGACTGCAACTTGTATCATTAATATTGAAGATGTGAATGACCACCTCCCAGTATTTACTCGTTCTTCTGTAAGTATATGATATTAATAAAAGAAAAATATATAACCCAATATTAACTGATAGATATGCACTTCTCCATCCATGCCTCATAATTCAAATGAAGTACCCCTAGTGACAGAGCTTTAGTATGTTAAAATAAAATAGACAGGAGCCAGCCTGTGGTCTGGTGGTTAAGGTAGCTGAATCCCACATGGCTAACTATGCCATTGGCAATTCAAGTCCCAAACCCAGCCGCTTGAAGAACATGCCAGGAATATGTATGCATACCCCAATTCCCAAGATGAGAATAGAGAGGGGACCATTGGCTGGCTATCTGTCCATTTTCTCTTTCTCCATCTCTCTTTCTTTGTCTCTTTTGCAAGTGCACACACCCTATAGCAAAAATAAATAAATAAATAAAATGAGGTAGACTTTGAAAATGAGAGCAGAGCTTATTTCACATAATATGCTACTTTTGTGAAAGTTACTAATGAAGCTTTTTGTTTTTGTTATTTTAGTATGTTACAACAGTGGAAGAAAATACAATTGATGTGGAAATCTTACGTGTTACTGTTGAAGATAAGGATTTAGTTAACACTGCTAATTGGAGAGCAAATTATACCATTTTAAAGGGCAATGAAAATAGAAATTTTAAAATTGTAACTGATTCCCGAACCAATGAAGGAGTTCTGTGTGTAGTTAAGGTAAGAATAAATCAGTGAAATAGTTATTTAAAGTTTAGATCATAGATTTGCATACTAGAGTTTAATGGAAAGAAATGAATTCTGGAAAATTTAGGAGTTACATATATATGTGTGTGTGCATGTGTGTGTGTGTATATATATATGTATATATGCCATGTTCTTCATCTATCATAGAATATATTCATTTTTAGTAACCTTTTAAAAAGATCCTATGATTTATTTATACACACACACACACATGCACACACACACACACACACACACAGATATATATATGTGAGTGCATTCAATTAAGTTGACATAGTAGCTACAAATATCATGTAACAATTCAAAAACCAGCACTATTTTGATGCCAGTGCGACAGTGTCAAAATTTCTAGGCCCTTTTTTTTGTATTTGGGTCAAGGAGTCTTCACTTATTTACTGAATTTCCCAAACGATGAGTTACTCCAGGTTAGACCCGTGGAGTGGCTACTTGCAGGTCTGTTGGTCCATATCCAGTATACAAGTACAACTTTAGCACCCAAGTTCACAATGGGAATCCTCAATCACTCAAAAATGTAAATCTAAAACATTTTTCTAATACAATTCTACAGCATCTGAGAACTTGCTGCTAATTCAGGAGCGAGTGTTAGCGCCTAAAGCAATCTGAGCGCCTCTGACCTTGGACAAAGTCACACGCTTGTTTGCATTGCATCTTTAACAAGAACATGATTTTACTATGGGTCAAAATTTCCCTTTGGACCTATTCACACGGAGCATGGATCAGAAATAATGAATCCTTTTTCTTTATAATGATGAAAATTAGTTGTAGTTTTTGAATTCACATCTCTGTTTCAAAAATGCAGAGGGAAGTCTTTTACATTGTCTATCTTTCATTATCCAATTTATGCCCTAATTGTTGGTATTCCAGAAGGCAGTTTGTCTGTGTGAAATCCTGAAAAAAATGTCTGCTTTCTGGACAACAGTTTCACCTATTCTCATTACAACTACATATCAGACAAAATAAAACAAAGCCTTCCACCAAACTTGGCACTGTCGGCTTTTAAGAAAAGACCTGGGATGGAAAAGACAATAAAGGAGAGTCTTATGTCCTGAAACTTTCTATTTTTTTTTTGTTGTTGTTGTTCCTCTTCTTTTAAAAGAATTCTTTACAATTGACCTACTTTTTCTATCCCAAATCAAATGCAAATAGTAATTTCATGGTGGATCCAATAAGCTGACCAAAAGTTGATAGTGTAGTAAATAATTATTGGTTATGGTGTGAACCAGTTAAAGGTGTATCTGAGGTGTTAACATCCAAGCACCCTTATTAAATACTTTCTGAAAGCTTTATTGGTACCGCTTGCATTACGTTTGTTAAATTTGCAGTTGTGAAGCAGGTGTCTGTTTCTGTGGTTTTTTTTTTTTTTTTTTTTTTGGCCCCTCTTT